AAAAAACAACCCGGAAAAAAAAGACTCAATCAAGGCAATAATGGCCTCCACTTCACAATCAGACAAGTGCTTCTACTTCAGAAATCCTACCATTTATGGCTGATTGCTAACCCTAGCCTCATTTCTAATCTAAAGGGTGAGTAATAATTTGGAAAAGGAATTATAACAACTTCCCAACCATTTGGTAAATCGTCATTACTTTAAAGGGGTGTTAGGGAGCTGTTGCTGTTTGTCAGATATTTTTTTCCTGCTACTGCTCTTCTACTTCCACCACCCCTTTTCTCCTTGATCTCATACTGGAAGGGAAGTAATGTACAGTGGAAATATGTAAGAAAGAAAAGACTGGAGGGATCCTCTGACCGTGGGACTCCGACATGTAGAAGTTGCCATGAGGCACAGAAAGGTGAAATGGCTCTTCCCTTTGTAGGGTGCCCAGAGATTCATGCAGGGATCAGCTCCTGCATGAACTCCCCAGAGTGGGAAACCTTCTGCATTAGGAACCTCCCAAAGGAAAGGATAAGGACCACCCGTGCAGGTGGATGGGTGATGCTGGGTGCTGGTGCAGCAAGAGCCTGCTGCCCACCTGACCCCAGTGGAGCCACCCTGGCATTTGGGCTCCCCTGGTCGGGAGCAGCCAGCTGGATGGAGCTGGTGCTTTGCTGTCCCAATCCTGCCTGGACTGTCTGGAGTAGGCAGAGAGACATTAACATTTGACCCATAGGTCATCCCGATGGGAAGTACCAAGTCTGGAACCCTGAGTTGCATTTATCGCATTTATTTCCTGGTTCAAGCAGGGAGAACTGCATCTGTAAATATTTCAGTAATTATGTGAATATTTTTTTCCATCTTCTGCAAGTCCACTGTGATTTTCACATGCACATCAGAGTTCATCTTAGAGGTTATTCCAACCAAAGCAATTCTGTGATTCTAGGGTTTTCTAGGGAGAAAATATCAAAAAAGAGGACTTGGACAATGTTCTTCTGGCCATCACCTGTGAGTGCCACAGCTGCCCTGGACAGAACAAAGGACTTTGCCCAGTGCTGCTGCTCTCAATGACAGAGTGTTTAAAAACAGATAAAACCTGATGCAGAAAAAAAGAATCAGGAGGGACCTGTGCTGGGGGAGACTTGCGCACAGCTTCACCTGGGTTATTTATTCTAATCCTGCGGTAATCATGATGGTGTTTTGATAATAGCAGACCTTTGTGATCAAAATACCTCTTATTTCAATGATTCAAGGACAAAATGGATGCTATTGTCTCCCTGGATGAATGTGAGGTGTTTTATGAAAGGTACGATCAGTGTGTTCAGAGAATGACAAAATTTTCTTTCCTCTCTTGGGAGGTAACTGCAGCACCGGCTGTGCAGCACTGAGTCCCTTACTCCTGGGTTGTGCTGTGAAGGGATCTGTGTCACAGTTATTTATGTCTGTATTTTAAATATGATTTGAAAAGAGACTGATTCAAAAATTTTCAATGACCCACTGAAATCTGAACTACTTATAGCAAGACAAGAAGTATAATGCTTCAATCAAAATAGCAACTTGGAATGTGTTTTATTAAACAGAGTTCATTTAATACTACCCCAGAGTGCTATGGATGTGAAAACACATTCTTGAATTGGAACTGTCATATCTAGGTAATAGGAATGAAGGAAAAATGGTAATTTTTAATATTGTACATGAATTCTGGTCTCATATAGAACTACCCACAGCATTCCTGCATATTTTCCAAAACTGTTGTGTCCCTGGATCCTGTATGTCACTATGAGGTAAAAATGTTACAGGAAAAACAATACACCCTGCACAGAGCTCTAAGTAAAATCCTGGCAGATTTAGCTTTCCCATCATTCTCTCTGCAGTATTTTCAAGGCGTTTCAAGGGAGAGAAAACAAAACAAGTCTCAGGCTAAGTGCAATTGAAGAAAACTCTGAAATAAGGCATCAAGGGATGCAAAATAACAAAAAAAAAAAGTGGAATCTATGTATAAACTCTGTGTGCTTTTCCCTTGTAAATATTCCTTGATTTTTGCTAGCCATATTATGCAAAAATATTTAAATTAGCAGTTTATAAAAGAGCAGCGCTGCCCGTGTAACACGGATGCCGAATCTATCGGGGACGAGCAGTTGGGAGGTGATGGGACCATTTACATCTCCATTAGTGGATATTTGCAGATCATCCCAAGGAAAACAGGTTTTTCCTTGTCAGCTGGTCGGCATTTCGGGAGTTTAAATGGCTACCAGCCGGAGCGTGAGCGCGGAGAGGCACAAGGGCTAATTTCTCCCGGACGCTCACCGGCTGGGAGCGGGGCCGGCGGCTGCGGGGGCTCAGCGCTCGTTCCGTGCCCGCGCTGGGCCTGGGCCCGGAGCCGGCTCCCGATCCCCCCGGGCCCGCCGCCGCCGGCTCCCGATCCCCCCGGGCCCGCCGCCGCCAGGCACCCACCGGGACATGAAGGCAAGGAGGGACCGGCGGACCAGGGCAGGCGCGGAGAGCGACGCTCCCTGTGCAGCCTTAAAATACGATTAAAAAGAACTTACTAGGTCCTTATTTAGAGAAAGGACAAATCCCGCTCTGTTCACACGGAGGAACTCCAGTGCCTGCATGAATGAATTCTCACCCGCCGTTAGCGCTGCTCCTGCCGGCACCTTCCACCTCCGCCCGAATCCCCGAGACAGAGGGAGGGTGCCAGCTGAGCCCCGAGGGGACGAGCCCAGCATCGGGTTCTGCCCGCGCAGCATCGCGCTCACCGCCCGGTCCGGGCTGGGGCAGAGCCGGGGGATGCGGGATGGGGCAGAGCCGGGGGATGCGGATGGAGCAGAGCCGGGGGATGCGGGATGCGGGATGGAGCAGAGCCGGGGGATGCGGGATGGGGCAGAGCCGGGGGATGCGGATGGAGCAGAGCCGGGGGATGCGGGATGGGGCAGAGCCGGGGGATGCGGATGGAGCAGAGCCGGGGGATGCGGGATGGGGCAGGGCTGGGCGGCGGGGGATGCGGGATGGGGCAG